CATGTTTGTTGCTGCTCTTTTCACAATAGCTAAGAGATGGAAGCAACCTAAGTGTCCCTCAACTGACGAGTGGTTAACAAAAATGTGGTATATTTACACAATGGAGTTCTGTTCAGCAGTAAAGAAAGGTGAAATAATGAAATTCGCAGGTAAATGGATGGATCTAGAAACTGTTATACTAAGTGAAGTAACATAGACTCAGAAAAACAAATGACATATGTTCTCCCTCCTATGTGGCTCCTAGCACCAACTCCTTTAAAATTCCAGGTCCTTTTAATAAGATGATGCTATACAGCAGTCCCTTCTGCATGAAGTAACTACCATCATCACAACTTCAGCTGAGACTTATTTCTAAACATAGTCACAATTGGGCTTGTTGATGGTTGTGCTCATTCATTAAAGGAGGGCCAAGCAGGGTCACTGGACCCTCACCTGAGTATCCAGCCACTCTTCCAAGCCAACTAGTCCAGCCTTGGAAGAAAGGAAAATGAGGAAGAACCCAATAAGTAAAAAGACCCCAAAGAAATATAACCAGTTTCTTGGCTAAAAGTCAAAATGTCCTTGGGCCTGTTAGCAACACACTCTGTTCCAAGGCCAAAAACATCTAAAGTATTTGGGAGCTTGTATCTAATCCTTAGAAGCTTTTAGGGTTACCTCTTCAGAGGGGGAATGTTGGAGGGGAGGGAGTGGGCATGGATTTGATCAAAACACCTTATATGCATGTATGAAATTCTCAAAATTTTTGTAAAAATTAAAAAAATAAATAAAAAACAAACCAAAACAAAAAACCAGCTTCTCCCCTTACTGGCATAAGCTAGAATCCTTTAGAACTTCCTTCATACATACAATGGACTTGGTCGTGGTTGCCTCCCGCCCACTTCTGTGGCTCTCCCTTCATGCTCGAGCGATGGTGGGGTCACCATGTGCTGCCACTCTGGTGGCCCCTCACCCTGGCACCAGGCAGGCCTGGTTGTCAGAGCCACATTTCACTTGGCAAAGGGATGGCTTTGAGGTAGGTGGCAGTGATAGAGTGCTTGTTGTGTGAGTGAGTGTCCATTTGCTCTGGAAAATGGTATTTTCTGGCTCTTTCTTGGAGCTACTAGCCATGTTGCCCGAGTACTTAAAGAAGAGAGAAACATTGGCTGACATGTGCTGGGTACCTGCTGTGTGTGGACACCTCACTGGGCGAAGGTGCCCTGTGCATTCCTGGTTTGTCACCTTCCTGTAGGGAGCTGAGGCAGCACTGCTGTGATGTCAGGGTCACAGGTGAAGGGAAGGCTTGAGTTTGGCAGTGTGCCCTGTGGATACACAGCTGGTCAGAGCTGGGGCAGGGCCCCTTATTCGGTCTAACAGCTGCTGTAGGAGGACTTGGCAGGCGCCAGACCTGAGGGAACTGGGCTGGGACCCCATACCAATGGGCAGGGCTAGAAGGGACTAGGTGAGCCACAGTTGGCAGCAGACCCATAGGCTTTCGCTCTGAGGGTGAGTGTTGTTAGCCAGGTGGTGTCTAGGAAGGTGCCAGGCTCTGCTGAGATGGGGCACTGAAGGTGCTGGCTGAATTCTAGAGCGTTCCTGCAGCCTCAGGAACCCTCTATAGCAGGGCTTCCCTCTGGGGAAATAAGGCAACGTTTCCGATGCCATTTAGGGGTGCAGGGGCAGGTGCGCTCTCTGCGTCTTGGGGAATGCCAGCAGAGCCGTCAAATCAGGGTCATTTTTCACTTTTTTATTTGTTTTGGTCTTTGAGACAAGGTTTTCCTGTAGCCTCAGCTGGCCTGTTACCCACTATCTGGACCAGGCTGATCTGAATCTCACAGAGCTCCACCTCCCAATGGTATGCACCGCCACACCCAGCAGGAGGGGAGCTTTAGAGTTAGAGCAGGGAAGCCCACAGGGTTAATTAGGGCATTTAAAGGCCTGCTAAGGCTCAGGCCAGCATCCCCCCAAAAAAAGAGAGACTCAGAAGTAGTAGTTGACTTTTCTGAGGAAACCACCACCGTGGGCAGACCCAGCAGAACCTCATGGTGGCTGGTAGGGGCTGCACTAGGAAGTGGGAATTCTCGGAAGGAAAAGTGCATTATTTTAAGGTTACCTGCCTGCCTAGGTAGGGGTGGTCCCCTAGCCAGGTCCCTGACCTGCCCCACTTGATTAATCCTTAAGGGGAGACAAGGGCATGTCTCCATATTGAGGTAGAGCCCATGTTCACTCTCTCTGACCCGGAAAGCTCCCAGCTCTTAACTCTGGGCCCTGTGTGCCACCTTGGGCTGCCTGGGGATCTCCCCACTACATGGCAGGCCAGAGCCAGTTGATGTGTGCTGATAGAGCCTAGAGGTCTTGAAGCTGTGACCTGTGCCTAATTTTCAGAACAGCTTCAATGACCCAGCTTCTTTGGGCCTCCTGACAGAGTGCTGGTCCTGGGATTAGCTCCTGGGGTCTCTGTCTGACGGGGTGCTGGTCCTGGGATTAGCTCCTGGGGTCTCTTGTCTGACGGGGTGCTGGTCCTGGGATTAGCTCCTGGAGTCTCTGTCTGACAGGGTGCTGGTCCTGGGATTAGCTCCTGGGGTCTCTGTCTGATGGGGTGCTGGTCCTGGGATTAGCTCCTGGAGTCTCTGTCTGACAGGGTGCTGGTCCTGGGATTAGCTCCTGGGCTCTCTGTCTGACAGTGCTGGTCCCTGGATTAGCTCCTGGGCTCTCTGTCTGACGGGGTGCTGGTCCTGGATTAGCTCCTGGGGCCTCTGTCTCCTGTTCTTATGCACTCAGCTGTCGTTGGAGAGACCTGGCCCTGAAGAACCTGCCACATACTCTCTGGGAACTCCAGCAGCTGAGCCATCTCCTTGCCTAGTGGCCTTGGGGAAGTCATTGCTATCAGCCCTTCTAGCCAGGGTAGACTTCTACAGACAGGCAGGTACCATGACCTTGAGGGGAAGGTCCTCTGGAAAGAGGACTGTATAGCCCTTTTGGGATATGCCAGATTAACCCTGGTGGACTCATTGGGACAGAGCCCAGATGGGTGGAAAGGTCTTGTCCTTCCTCTGGAAGCCTGCTCCAGTCCTTGCGGGTCATTGCTGTAGTTCCCCTCAAAGAGACTCATCTCACTTTTCTCTCCTGCCATAGGATCATGCGGCCAGATGATGCCAACGTGGCCGGCAATGTCCATGGAGGAACCATCCTGAAGATGATTGAGGAGGCAGGTGCCATCATTAGCACCCGGCATTGCAACAGCCAGAACGGGGTAAGTGCCCGGGCCCTCGTCAGCTGGGCTAGGATTGCATATAAGACCTGAGTCTCCCCAGGGCCACAACAGTGTGGGTCAGGAAAGGAATTCACATGAAGCCTAACGTGGCCGGCAATGTCCATGGAGGAACCATCCTGAAGATGATTGAGGAGGCAGGTGCCATCATTAGCACCCGGCATTGCAACAGCCAGAACGGGGTAAGTGCCCGGGCCCTCGTCAGCTGGGCTAGGATTGCATATAAGACCTGAGTCTCCCCAGGGCCACAACAGTGTGGGTCAGGAAAGGAATTCACATGAAGCCTGGGTCTGCAGCCCTCCCTTGCCTTGCCCATCAGGCCTCGGATGATCCTCTGGGGGCTATGGCACAGTCACCCCTGCTTGGGGCCCCTAGGGGTAAGGTTTGGCTTTGGCCTAAGAGAGGAGGGTGGGAAACCAGCTGCTAGCCAGCTGAAGGACCGCTCGTCACATTCTACTCTGGATCCCTAGGAGCCCTGGCCTGCACAGGGACACATCTTCAGCCCCGTTAGCCTGCTTGAGGTCGGAAACACTCCATGCGTGTGTGGGGTCGTAGTTTATCACGATGTATAAGAGCTGACGTGGGAGTCGACCAGCCCTGGGCCTAGCTCATTTCTGCCCGAGTGAACTCTGGTGGCTGTGGACAAAGGGCTAAGGCTTTCTGTGCCTCAGCGCTGTGAAGTGAGTCTGAGTCTGAAACCCAGAAGGCCCTGCATATTGCTGGGGCCTGGTGCATACCTGGAGGTGTGTGGCAGGAAGTGGCCCCACAGACTGGGCAGGACGAGCAGAGCAGGCAGGTTCTCTGGCTTTAGAACTCAGTGCCTCTTCAGGCTGTCGTCTTCTGACAGCCCTGAGGGACCTGACATTTTCTTTGAAGTCCAGCCAGGGGGAGAGGGAAAGTGCTCTGTCTGGGCAGCTGTGTGCTGTGGCAAGCCCAGAGGGCTCCCTGCAGGGACTGCAGTGCACAGCCTCTGCTGGCTGTGGGTCTCAGCCAGTGCCCTGTGTGCTTCTCTGGGCAGAGCAGAGACAGATCCCAGCCCATTTAGAGAGAGTAGGTGGATAGCCGGGGCCCCACTGTGGGCAGATGTGAGCACAGGCTCCATCAGTGAGGTCAGAGAACCCAGAAGAGGCACCCTTACTTCCGACTCGGCCAAGCCGGCAAGCTAGAGCAAGGGGCATGCTGGCCTGGCCATGCGGGTGGCTGTAGCAGAACATGGCTGTGTCCCATGTCGCACTCTTTCTTTTCTTTTTTAATATTTTATTTATTATTTTTATTTTATGTGTATGCTTGTATTGCCTGCATGTAGGTAAGTGCACCCATGTCATGCAATGCCCACGGAAGACAGAAGAGGCTGTCAGATCCCCTGGAACTGGAGTTACGGACAGTTGTTAGCTGCCATATGGGTGCTGGGATTCAAACCTGGGTCTTCTGTAAAAACAACCAGCGTTCTTAACTGCTGAGCCATCTCTCTAGCCCGAATGTCTTTTTTTTTTTTTTTTTCCGGTCTTTTTGAGGCAGGGTCTCCCTGTAGCCCCAACTGTGTCCTGGAACTCACTATGTAGACCAGGCTGGCCTCAAGCTCACAGAGATCCACCTGCCTCTGCCTCCCGGAGTGCTGGGATTAAAGGCGTGTGCCACCACGCCCAGCCTTGAATGTCTTTTAAATTAATTAATTATTTGTGTGTGGGAGGGTATGCATATGAGTGTGTGCCTGGACATGTGTGGAGGTGAGAGGACAGCTTGCAGGAGTGGACCCTTTTTCTACCATGTGGACTCTGGGGGTTGAACTCGGGTCGTCAGGCTTCTTGGCAAGTTTCTTTACTGGCTGAGCCATCTCCCTGGCCTGAATTTGAACTTCTAAGTCTCCTGCCTCTACCTTCTAAGTGTTGGAATTATCAGCATATGCAATCCCATGCCTGGTTTATGGGGTGCTGAGGATTGAACCGAGGGCCTGTGCATGCTAGGTAAACACCCTACCAATTCAGCTATATCCCCAGCCCCACTGGCTTTCACATGAATGATAAGAAAATAAAACAACCTGACAGCTAGTCTCAAGGAAGATCAAACCAGCCACAGCAGTTCCTTAAGCCAAAGCCTCGTCTGGAGCAGGCCCTGACCCTTCAGTTCTGTGACAGCCGGAGAGCTGAGGCAGGTGAAGCAGCTGCGAAAGACCAATTTGAGGCTGGCTGTGAAGTTGAAGGAAAGACGGCGGCTCCATGATGTACACAGTGTGCAGGTGAAGCAACAGGTGCTGATGTGGAGCTGCAGTGAGTAACCCAGAGGATCTCTAAGAGATCTCTGGCAATGAGCTTCCACCCAGCGGCAGGTTTATGGTGTGGATGAAATCACCTTCCACTGGGAGATGCTGTCTGAGACTGTCAGAGCCGGAGAGGAAAAGCCAGCGCCTGGCTAAAAGCATCACAGCACAGGCAGCTTCTCCTGAGGGAACTGGTGACTTTAAGCTAGTTCTCACCCATTCTGGAAGCCTAGGGCCCTTGGAGTTAGCACACTAAGTCCACTCTGCCTGTGCTCTGTGAATGGAACAGCAGACCCCAGGTGGCCATACATCTCTTTCTTGAATGGCTTAGCAAATACTTTAAAAAATATTTTATTATTTTTATTTGTATGCGTGTATTACCTGCACGTAAGTGAGTGCACCCATTAAAAAATATTTTATTATTTTTATTTTATGTGTATGCGTGTATTACCTGCACGTAAGTGAGTGCACCTGTGTAGTGCAATGCCGCAGAGGTCAGATCAGAGAGCTTTGGATTCCCCTGGAACTGGAGTGGGTGCTGGGAATTGAACCGGGGTCCTCTGCAAGAGCATTCAGTGCTCTTAACTGCTGAGCCATCTCTCCAGCCCCAGCAAATACTTTTTTAAAAAGTTTTTTTTTCGTGTGTGTTTTTGAGACAGGCTCTCCTTATAGCCCCACCTGGCCTAGATCTTGCTATGAAGACCAGGCTGGCCTGCCTCTGCCTCCCAAGTGCTGGGATTAAAGGCGTGTGCCACCATGTGTGCCACCATTTATTTTATGTGTATGTGTTTTGCCTGCATATGTGTAAGTGTACACTTGTGCAATGGCTGCAGAGGTCAGAAGAAGGCGTTGGATTCCCGGGAACTGGAATTATGGACAGTTGTTAGCTGCTATGTGGGTGCTGGGAATTGAACACAGGTCCTCTGCAGGAGCAGCCAGTGCTCTTAGCTGCTGAGCCGTTTCTGTAGCCCCGGCTTAGCGAATAGTTTAAGCCCACCATTGAGACCTGCTGCTCTGAGAAAAAGATTTCTTTTAAGATCCTACTTCTCTTAGGGCTGGAGAGATGCTCAGCAACAGTTAAGAGCACTGGCTGCTCTTGCAGAGGATCCAGGCTTGATTCCCAGCACCTACATGGCAGCTAGTAATTGTCTATAACTTCAGTTCCAGGGTATCCAACACCCTCTTCTGACCTCCGTGGACACTGCACAACACTGGTGTACTTTAAAAAAAATTTTTTTTAAA